AAAAAAAAAAAATAAATAGGGAAGGAGGTAAGACCCTTGGTCTGGAAAAATAAGAACAAGCTGATGGTAGCTCATGTTTTAAAAGACACTGTGGAGCAAATCAGTGGAATAGGCAGCTCAAACATAGCTGCCCCTCTACATAAACATCAAAAATCTTCTTTTTTTTGCATTTTTTGTCTGAGGCTGGGTTTGAACCTGCTACCTCCAGTATATGGAGCCAGTGCCCTACTCCTTTGAGCCACAGGTGCCACCCACAAATCTTTTATATATATATATATACACACACACACACACACACACACTTATTTGTCATTAGTAAAAGAAAGTCCAGTACTGATAGAAAGATTCAAATTTGTCTTTCCATACATTTGTGAAGCAAAAGACTAACTTGTGGGAGGCGGAGGTGGGTGGACTGCCTGAGCTTATGGGTTTTAGACCAGATGGAGCAAGAGCAAGGCCTCCTCTCTAAAAAATAGTTTGCTTGGTTCCTGTAGCTGAAGCTGCTAAGGCGGCAGCCAGATACACCAGAGCTGGTGGGTTCGAATCTACCCCGGGCCTGCCAAACAACAATGACAGCTACAACCAAAAAATGACTGGGCATTGTGGTGGGCGCCTGTAGTCCCAGGTACTTGGGAGGGTGAGGTAAGAGAATTGCTTGAGCCCAGGCGTTGGAGGTTGCTGTGAGCTGTGATGCCATGGCACTCTACCCATGGCGACAGCTTGAGGCTCTGTCTCAAAAAAAAAAAAAAAAAAGAAAATAGTTGGGCATTGTGGCGGGCACCTGTAGTCCCAGCAGCTCGGAAGGCTGAAGCAAGAGAATCGCTGGAGCCAAGAGTTTGAGGTTGCTGTTAGCTATGACTTTACAGCACTCTACTGAGGGTGACAAAGTGAAACTATCTCAAAAAAAAAAAAAAAAAAGAAAAGACTAAGTTGTTCACTGTCATTCCCTCAAAAGGAGTTGAGCCCTGGATTACCTGACCCTTCAAACCTAACCTCCTTGTTAGATTTTCCGATCAAGGAAAAAGTAGAATGTTCTAAGCATTTCCTAAAATTCTTTTTTTTTTTTTTTTTTTTTTTTTTTGAGATAGCGCCTCAAGGTGTTGCCCTGGTTAGAGGGCTGTGGCATCACAGCTCACAGCAACCTCCAATTCCTGGGCTGAAGTAATTCTCTTGCCTCAGCCTCCCAAGTAGCTAGGACTACAGGCACCCACCATAACACCTGTCTATTTTGTTGTTGTTGTTGTTTTTGCAGTTGTCATTGTTGTTGAGCTGTCCCAGCCAGAATCTAACCCTCCAGCCATGGTATATGTGGCTGGTGCATAACCACTGTGCTACTGGTGCTGACCCTTGAATTAGGATTTCTTGGGAACCTTAGAGTTATTCCATATGGCATGCAAGCAAATCTGGCTTTACTTTTTTTTTTT